ATCTGGCCGGGCAAAAGGGTGGCCATTCGCCAATTCCTGCAATTCACTAGAATGCCAAATTTTAATCAAAAGCGAAGGAAGGAGCCATTTGAGATAGAAACCAGATCAAAAAGGAGAATCTGGATTTGGGCCGAATGTTTGATGGGTCGGAAAAGTCGACGAGAGATAGTCTTCCTTCGTTCTTTGGAAGTATCACGCTTAAATGCGCCTATCTGCGTATTATACAAACGAAGTTTCGTGCACTTTGCGTTCGTTACATTAATATCTGCCAATTATATTGAGCAGCACAAAAGCGTTTAATGATTTTCTGCTTTCTTTGTTGAATTGAGCCAGGTTCAGCGTAAGGTCCTTTTTTCCTTTATGGAAACGCCAATTTTCTGTCGGCTGTTGATCGTGTCATTGAATCTGGTGTTCCGAATCAGATGAGCGTATTCAGAATTGAACCGCAGTCGCTGACAGTGTATTACAATTGCCTACGTATAGTCCAGTAGACAATCCACAGATACCGGGTCGGTGATAATCGTTACTAGGTGTCGATTGAAAACTAGGCCCGAATTTCAATTTGTAGCTGACCAATAAAGAAATTAATAAGCCGTGGCAATATGCAGTTGATTCAAAGGTCTATAGAATATAGGCGATCATGTGTCTTCATAGTCTCTTTCAGTAATTTCTTTTAAGCCATATCCCTTAGTACCTAGGTAGCACTCAGTGTGGCTCAGTTGTACTTCAGTTATTGTGAGAGGCACGTGGCGCTTTGTCTTCTTCGGGGTGTCCTGCCATTCCACCTGACTAACGAAGGTTTCACGATATATATATATATATATATATATATATATATATATATATATATATATAATTTTTTGTTTAAAAATATGATTCCTCTGCTACATAAGGGTTCTCATGTTTCAAAATGTCACTGTCTTAAAAATAAAAACAAAATACTAAGGAACTTCGGATTATGCACCCAACGTTTTCTATTTTCTATTTTCTGCATACACACACAATTTACACACACACACACACACACACACACACACACACACACACACACACACACACACACACACATATATATATATATATATATATATATTGAACAATAAAAATATTAAAAAATTAAAATCTTTAGACACTCTGAGTTGTATATTAATATTCTTTCGTTTTTTTTTATTATTTCATTTAGATTCATCGACTAGTTTCGGCCAACATGGCCATCATCAGGAAAAAAAAATATTTCTGCTTGCTGGTAGCAGTGAACAACAGAAATGAATGTCTTGATGGAGAAATTGAACTTTTGTCTGTAGTTTTGATTTGTTTTTTTATTTTTTATTTTTTTAACATGAATTTTGGTCATCCTTGTGTTGGTTAAACAGTCTCTTTTAAGTTGTTATTTAAGATAAGAGCTGGATAGATTCATGCTGCACGGTCATTTTGACAGTTTTATTGGTTCCTGGAAAGGGATGTGTCTCTGTTAAAATGTGTGTTTGTTATTTGGTTCTTAGAGATTGAGATATATATATATATATATATATATATATATATATATATATATATATATATATATATATATATTGTATATACCTATGCTCAGACAGTGAGAAAAACAGATAATACAATTTGGAAATAAAAAAAAATTAAACAAACCGATATCAAGGAAAAAAATTTCAAGAATTCAAGAAAGAAAAGACTAAAAACATCCGTACTGCTTGAAAATTATCAATCAACACCGCAATGTCTAGCCAAAAGAAAAAAAAATACCGACTGAGTAACTTAAGTTAAAACGAAAAAGTGATCAATACACTAAATAGAGCAAAAAGTAAAAACCTAATGAGCCAGAACCTATCTACCAATAATATATATATATATATATATATATATATATATATATATATATATATATACGGAACCGTCATATAGCCTGACGTGTTTTTTATTGATTTCGCCACAGAGGAGCGTTTCAGTAGGTAAGATCGATTTTATTGTTTTTTTAGTTTCCATGATTTTCTCTCGTACATTCAGATCTGCTCGATGCGTATCCAAATGCAAAAAAATGACGTCACACATTATGAAATGGACAAAGTCTGACAATTACTTTAAGGCATTCTTTTTAAGAAAGTATAAGCATAAAAAAAAATAATTGTCGGATTTTGTCAATTTTATAATGTGTGACGTCATTTGTTTGCATTTGGATACGTATCGAGCAGATATGAATGTACGAGAGAAAATCATGGAGAATTGTAGTTTAAAAACAGTAAAATCGACCTTGCTAACCGAAACACTCCTCTGTGGCTCAATATATATATATATATATATATATATATATATATATTATGCAGTGTTATATTAGAGCATGCACAAATCCACTACAAAACTGTACATCTTGTTTCAACGTTAAAAAAGAAATTAACATTTCATCATGTGGGAAATCACAATACGTGATTCCCCACCTGATAAAATACAAAGAAGAATCTGCAATGTTATTGGTCCTGACCTGTCATCTCATCTTCAGTCACTTTCCCACTAGTATAATATAGCTTCCCTTAACTGTTTCTATAAATATTTTCATGGTAATTGTTCTAATAAGCTTTCTTGTTCAGTACCAGATTTTATGAATTTAAGCGTACTACTAGACTGGTTACAAGGTCTCATCATCTTATATTTGAATAATCTGCAATGTTATTGTTCTTGCACGTTTCTTTAAACAAGTATATTTATGATAGGGTATCAGCAGGTTTGACTTTTTGTTTTTTTCTGTCAATCTGCGTGTCGTATTTAATACTATTCCACCATTCTCATTTTTCTTAAGGATGGTTTGACCTATCTGCAAAGTAGTTTCTTTAATTTATCAATTTAAATGTTGGTGTGAAGCTGACTATGTGGGATGAACCAACTTGTAGTTGGTGACTCGAAATGAACAACACGCACCTCCCCATATAAGACAGGGTTGATCTAGCAAGAGTAATTGCTTGACTCAGTCTTTTGTGAATTAGCAATTGGACTTCATTTTGATTAACAACTCAGGGGGGGGGGCGTTTCCTAATATTCCGACAGAGCTTTCAGGGTGCTGCTAGAGCGGTTAAACTTTTACGGTTTTTAAAAGCGGTTTACATCATCGACCGACTTTGTGAAGGCAGAAGGAGAACTTTCTTCGTTCTCTGTGTCTCATGGTTGAGCCTTGAGTTAAAAAAAAATGTTTTGCGCTCACTAGGAGCCTATTTACACCGATTTGCTGTTTTTGGTAATAAATTTATGTTAGTCATGGCCCCCTCTCCTGTTCGCTCTTTCTTTCAGTTTCGCCCTTCTGGTTATTGTTGCCCCCCCCCCCGAATCTTTCTGGAGAAGTGTGGGACGAAAAAAGTCCATTTAAAGGAATGGGTTCCATCATTTTCAAAGCCATATATAAATTCTCTGCTACAAAATATTTGTTTATTTATTTTATTTTATTTAATAATTTCACCCCAAGCAAAGCGTGAATGTTACTAGTACGCAGGGGGTTATAAAGAATGAAAGTGAGAGAAAAAAAACTTATATTCTTATATTCTTTTACACTCAGTAATCACTTGTCTCTTAGTGGCTTTGTTGCCTTGCTCGGGGTGCAGTGATTAAAAAAATACGCAAGTACACGTTTTTAGAATTTTTTACTCGGCTTAAAAAAACTTCTATTTGAAACAGAACGATTACAAATACACCAAGCGCAATCAAACCATACAATAATTATCAATGTGTATTCATTTATATATTTACTGTCCCATCTGCAGTGGAAATCGAGGTAAATCAATTTAAGGTAGTAAATTTATAAGGGAGTCGTTTTAATAAGCTATGCAAATAAAATATTTGCATTTAGACAAATTTAGTCCCAGAGCAAAATGAATCGTTTAGTTAATCATTTCTTAGAATGATGTCTTATTTGTTCAAGCCTTTCATGTGAGGTACACAGATACCTTTGTCTATTAAGTGATCGTCTTGCTTTAATTTGAAATAGGCTTTGTCGTCGCCGTTTTATTATTGTTATATTAAACAGAAAAATGTTAACATGTAAAGATACTGTGCAAAAATTGATTCATTTAATACCAAGAGTAATCGTTGAATCATAAATACCAGTGAACGTCTAAAAAAATATTAAGGGAACGGATTAATTAAACGGTACATTGGCCTCGGTTTTAGTCGTTAATTCTTTATTTACGCTTGATTGAATCTTATTATTTTGTTTTAAGGCTTGTGTTTCATTACGTGACACTATTAACTCAAAATAGGCCGGTGTTGATAACAACTGTTTCCAAAATGTATTTGATATGTCGGCAATATTTGTTCTTTGAGAATAATCAGAATAGAACTTCTCAAAGACAGGAAATTCACTGAAATTGATTAAAAAATTAATACACGGAATACACAAGATCTGTTGTGTTTTGATGACATTAATAAAGCACCTTTCCCTGAAAATTCGAAAATAAGTTTTGAAACGGAAAATAATGAAAGAAACACACTATGGTTCATTTCTATTGTTTAATATCACGAAAAATTAAATATTTTTTTATGAAATAGAGCGTACCGCAGAAATACCTCCCATATTTTAATGGTTAACAAAAGGATCAACGTGTTTGCTATTAAAAAAAAATATTTCACTCTTTTTTTAAACAATGGTCTACAGTTTTATTCATCTGGTTTAAAAGATGGCCTCCTCCAAAATGATGGCCTCTATTCGTCATACACTCTTTGTAGACGATTTCGAAAGTTTTTTATCAACCGGAAGTTCAAGCGCTTCGAGGTCTTCCAGGTGTTATTTTTTTTTTTTTTGTTTGAGCGCTGAACATGTGGCTCTGGAATTTATATAGTAATATCAATTTTCTATCCGGAACGTCATCATTCCGACGTAACATGCAATGAACATGAAATGTTTTCTGTGTTGCAATTACAGATTCGCCTGTGTTAAAAAACGCAAGGTTTACACCGGTTCGAGCCATGATGGTAACCGATACGTATAAAACAAATGGTAAGACATAAGCCAAATGAAGACACCATTGCGACTCGCCAAAGTTTCCGAGCACTTCAAGGGTGAGATGACATTGAGATTTTAGTGGGATGCCTGTATTACGTGGTCGTATTATGCTCAAGTCAATAATTATAGCTATAAGAAAAAAAACTAGAGTGTTTTTAAATTTTACAAAGATAAGAAGGACTTCATCATTATCAACGCTCTCAGTGCCAGCGGAACCTCTCTGAATACAATTTCGACCTGGCAAATGCCATTTTGATTAAAGAATGGATGCACAAGGGTCGTTCAAAAAGAAGCACCCAGAAGGATAAACAATACAATTTTTAACTATTTTTCACGACAGTCCCCTTGACATTAATGCATTTTGCTCAACGATTCTTAAGCCTTGCAATCCCATGACAGAAGAAGATGGGGCCCAGGTCCTCCAGAAACGCCTCCACAGCACATATGATCTCATCCTTGTTTCAAAAATACCGACCACTCAAGTGGGAATTGAGTTTAGAAAAAAAAAGGAGGAAGTCAGATGGAGCTAAGAATGGTGAGTAAGGGGGATGAGGTGGCAATTTAAAGCCACAGTTGGTTTATTCAGTTACTGTAACCTAAGCAGTGTGAACGAGCGCATAATCCTGTAGCAAGAGCGCATCTGCCACCAGCTTCCCTCTGCTTTTCAACTTTATTGCTTCCTTCAGCCTTCAGTTGGATTAATTCTAATGCATAGCACTGTCCTTTAATAGTTTTCCCCCTTTCCAAGTAGTTTATCATGATTCGCCTTCATAAACCTAATAAATAGAATCCATTACCTTACCAACAGATGCTGCCTGCTTGAACTTCCTCCGGTTGGAGAACCAGAATGTTTCCACTGTCTGCTATGAATCTTTGATCCAGGATCGAAGTGGTGAACTCAGTTTCAGCCTGAGTTATTAAAGTGCGGTGGAAATTCTCAGGGTCAGTCTGGAAACAAGTCAAAGGTGTCATGGAAATGTCAACCGTTTTGAACTTTTTGTTCTGGAGTCAAAATTCTTGGGACCTGTCTTGCAGACAGCTTGCTCATCCCCAAGATCTCAGTTAAAACAGTATAGACGGAATTAGAACAAATGCCTATGGACTTAGTTATCTGCTGGACAGGAAGACGTCTGTCATCCCAAACTCTACTGAATGACAACAACTTGTTCCTCAATGGTTGAGGTTTTTGGACGACCTGACCGGGGGTCAAATTCTGTGCACTGCTTGAAATCCGTAGCCCATTTCTTCACACTCGCATAAGGAGAGGAGTTCACAGCAAGTGTCTGTACCATACCCTCATGGATTTCCTTGGGTGTCATACCTTTCTTTTACAGACACTTTATAACTTTCCGGGCCTGGGTTTTATCTATTTTTAGATTTGTCGCTCACCTTTCACCTTTGTATGGGCCACACCTGCACAGCAGTCTGAATCAGTTTTTCCAGCTTTATACGAAGTAGTAGTGTGTTTCCACATCAAAAACGTTCAGCTGTGGGTCTTCTTTCTAGGTGAGGCTCAGACATTTTCGAACGATACTCGTAATTAACTCAGATGTAAAGGATGTGCTAAGATATACGAGTCTCTGAGGAACCATATACAAACGGGCTATTTTAGTTTAGCTCCTGTACTTCCTGAATTACTACCGAAATAGTGCGAGAACGTAAACTTTAGGTTTAATAAATTAATAATTTGGAGGCACCGTGGCGTAATGGTTAGCGGCTCGGACTGGTCAATTGGAGTGCCAAGTTCGATGTCCAGTCGAGTTTATTACATTCACTTACGTGTTAATACCCTTGGGAAAGGCATGAATCGATCTCTTCTCTTCTACCATCTATGGGTAAATAGCAGGACATACTGGGTCCTATAGCCTTGGATGGCAACCAGTCTAGGAGAAGGAATAAATATCTGAATACAAAACGTCAGAAAAGATTCGCCTCCATAAGGATACCTTTTCCACAAAGCACTATTGCTGTGGCTGCACACGTGGTACCCCTAATCTAAAAGAAATAAAACCACTAAGAAGCAAGGGGTTACTGAGAGTGAAAGAAAGAGAACAGAAAAGAACAGGATGCAAGGAAACATGAGATGTTGATTTAAATTTGAGATGAGATGGTGATTTTTGCATTTAAATTTTAGTAGATCGCTGTTGACTGGGAAGCAGAATCGACCAAAAATGAGTTCCACAAGCAAGAAGTGCGAGAAAAGAAGCTATTAGCATAGGACTTACTGTTGCAACGGTAAAGTGATGCTACCTAACTACTAATCTAGCATTGCGATTAAATTCGTAAAGTCGAGCTACGAAAGAGGAATTAAATGCTAATTTCTATAACTACAGGTTTAATGTAAAAGTCAAGTGTCTAGCCGCTGAACGGGAATCTGGTTTCGTCCCTTTAACGGAGACTTTGTTCATGTGAAATAAACCCCTGGTCAAAATCTTAAGACCAGATACAAAAGGGTTAAAAAAATATAAAACATTTTTACTTTATTCAAAATATATTTGCAAAACATTTACATATAATCAGAAAATGTATTTTATCAACAAACAAGTGAACATTTTAAGCTTTTAATTGATTAATTTAAATAAACATTGAAAAAAAAAAGATTTTTTGGTTGGTCATAAAGATAAGACCATGTGTGAAAAAAACAAATTACTTGACAAAAATTTTAGAACTAGTCAGTGTGCTCATAGCTTTAGGCGTGTAGACATGTATGTAGCTCATTTCCAGTATTAAATTTCCGATTTTTAATGGCTAAGGGTAAAATTTTAACAAAGTTCGAACAGGGCAGGATTGTTGAAATTCAACTCCATTTTTTTTCAACATTTACCATTTGTCTGTCATCTTTATTTTTCTACTTTTATTCATTTGTCTCTTTTCTTTCTCTATCAGTTTTTTCGTCATATCAAAATTTTCTGTAATCAATATCTTCTCTTACATGCTTTCTTAATCTTTTTTGTATTACAATTCTTTCTTTCTTTCTTTCTTTTCTTTCTTAGGATGTATTTTCTTTATTTCTTTTTTCTTTCTTTTGTCTTTTTTTTTCTTTTTAGGATGTTTTTTCACCTTTTTGCATTTTCACGATTGTTATTTCTTTCTTTTTTCTTTTCTTTCTTTCTGTCTTTTTTACATTCTTTCTTTCTTTCTTTCTTTCTTTCTTTCTTTTGTGCTTGTTTGCTTAGAGTGCATTTTCACGATTGTTATTTCTTTTCTTTTTTTCTTTCTTTCTTTCTTTCTTTTTTTGTGTTTGCTTAGAGTACATTTTCGCTTTTGTTATTTCTTTTCTCCTTTCTTTCTTTCTTTCTTTCTTTCTTTTGTGTTTGCTTAGAGCACATTTTCGCTTTTGTTATTTCTTTTCTCTCTTCTTTCTTTCTTTTCTCCTTTCTTTCTTTTTTTCTTTCTTTCTTACTTTCTTTCTTTCTTTCTTTCTTTTGTGTTTGCTTTTTTCTTTCTTTTTTCTTTCTTTCTTTCTTTCTTTCTTTCTTTCTTTCTTTCTTTCTTTCTTTCTAAGTACACGTTTTCTCCTTTGTCTTTTTGTTTCCCTACCGTTCAATCTTTCGTAAAAAAAATAAAATAAAATATAAACAACGAAATAAAATAAAAAAAATAAAAATAAAAATGAAACTACTTTTCGCATTTCATTCCAAACATTTAAAAAACTATCTGTTCACTTTTCTTCAAAAGAAAACCTGAAGTTGCAGATAATAAAACAAAAGAGGCAAGAAAAAAAAAAAAACAGAAAAAAACTTCGACTCTACTAAGTAAAAAAGAAGACGAAATTCTGACTTGTTTTCGCCATTTTTAATTCATCTTTTATTACATCTTGAATTATTATTTTTGCCTCACATCTTTTTATTATATGATACACGTGAACACACAGACACACACACACTCTCTCTCTCTCTCTCACGCACACACACATATACACTCACGCATATACATATATTACTTTTGTCAACACTATGTGTATTGTAAGAGTCACCGTTCATTAAGCCCCTTTGTAAAAATGAACAAAGCCATGGCGGACATGTTTGAATACAGTCTCGCGGCGGGAACTGCATTCTCGTCTGTCCCTATTCAGTGTTTCTGCACTCAATGGGATATTTATTTATTATATTATTTATATATTTTATTTATTTATTTACTTATTATTTTAATTCTATTTTCAGACAGACTTTTTTTTTTCTTATACTTTCTTTTCTATGTTTTGGTTATAATTTGTATTGTGTACGTGTTTTTCGCCATTCCTTTATAAAATACGAGTACAAAATATATTTATTTGGCACATAGATTTTCAGTGTGTGAATTTTTCGGTTATATATCATGTGTGCATTAAGTGTTCCCAAAAGTTTGTTTTGTTTTTATCATTAAATCGCATTAACAGGGTTTTTTTTTTTTTTGTAAGTAACTTTATTAAAAAGTCGCAATCGATTGGGTTGTTACAGCTGTCATGTTCGCATATATTTTTAAAAAGAAAATGTCAAAATAGGCGTATTTTTGTTTATTGCTTTTAGCATTTAAGATTATAATATTGTTCTAGCGTTCACCCAGGGTGCGTTGAACGCCAATTATTGTGTGGTCATTGCAGAGTCAAGCGAGTATTTTTTACGATCGAAACACCAATGTTTTTTTCCGTATTTTTTTTTTATCTCCACAGTTTATATAAATTCAGAGTTGTTGTCATATAGGCTAGCCAAAAAATTAGGCAAAAACTTTAATATAGTTTCGAATCTTGCCGAAGTGTACTTTTTCATTAATGAATTTCATCGAGTGTGTAGACCAATAGACGAAATAATCAATGTTTAAAATGAAAGGAACGTCTACACAAATACGGGTATCTACTAAAAATAACGTTTGAATTAATAGAATTATGTTGCATTAAAGAAAAAAGATCGTTTATTTCTTCAAAATTGCTTTGTTTGCCTTTCGGATACGAAGCTGAGGAGACACGCGTTTAGAGGAAATATGAACGAGGTGATGTGCCTTAAAGGCAAAATAGAACTTTATCTGACTGTGAAGCTCTCCGTAGCCAAGCAGTCAATGCACGCCAGATCGGGTGGGGGTTTCTCCTACAAAGAGGCATCTCAGGTACGACTTCTGCCGTAGAGCACTTTGTATTTGTCAAGATTTCTTCAATGCATAGACCGATAGGCCTAACACGAACTGTTTGAAATAAAAAGAAATAAAAATGTGCCGTCTATTTCAAATACGAGTAACCGTTATAATAACTTTGAAGTAATATGACCAAACGTCAGAATTTATTTTGTAATCCTTCTCTTGTCGATCAGTCCGAACTCTTTTCAAATGTCCCGAGGAACACAGGTTCAAATCCTGCCGGAGAGCACAATTTTTCTTTAATAAGATTTCTTGAATATTTATTTAAATAAATATACTCTTTAATAAAAAAAAAATGGAGCGTCTACTCAAATACGAGTACCCTCTAAAAAATAACGTTTAAAGTGATAAAAAATATGTCGGATTAATAAGAAAGAATTGGATACAAAACAGCGGAGATATGAAAAACAAGACAAGAGGAATTTCGCTTATTGGCACTAAATTTGGCCTGTCCTGACCGACTGCTCTTCGTGAACAAGTTGGTTAATGCGTGCCGAGCGTAACGGCATCTAACGGCCCGCCGAAGATTGCAAATTTTTATTTAATAAGATTTCTGGGACATTCAGGCCGGTAGACGAAAATAAATGAATAAATGTTTCTCAGGCTTCATCATGCACATTTACAAATCTACCATTCGTCCATGGGTTGGATACTTTTTCTATATCTGGTCTGAGGCTCCTGCTATTCATTTTGAGGTTCTCAACAAAATCCAAAGAAGGATCTGCAATGTAATCGATTCTGACTTGGCATATTGACTTCAGTCACTTTCTAACCGTCGTAACGTGGCTTCTTTCTGCAAATATTTTCATGGCAACTACTCTAACAAGCTTTTTTCTTGGTGTCCAGACTGCATAAATTTAAGCGTGCTGCTAGATTGGCATTTAGGTCCCATCATTTTACTGTTGACCGATGTAAATGCAACCTCCACTTCTATTCCAACAGTTTCTTTTCACGCACTTCCCGTCTGTGGAAATCCTTTCCGTTTACTCGCTTCCCTGATAACTGCAATTTTCAAAAATTTAAATGCAACGACAATCGTCATCGTCTGTCTTCTTAAATCCCGTTTATTTTTGCCCTTTTTTTTCAATCCTCCTTATAGCCAGTCTTGTCTTTCACTTTCACTCCCTATAACCCCCCTGCGTACTAATGGAATTATCACCATGCCTGGGGGAAAATATTATAAAAAAAAAAATATTGTTTTACAAATAAATGGGGCGTCGACTCAGTTACGAGTATTCATTAAAAATAACGTTAAAGTGATATATATATATATATATATATATATATATATATATATATATATATAGTCGACTCTCCCGTCGATTTCGATGAGGGTCAAGCAGCTCAGTTTCAGGAAACCGACAGTCCGACAACGACACATGAGATTTGATTATAGTGGTGAAGGCCTCGTGCAGGACCATCCACACACACACACACATATATATATATATATATATATATATATATATATATATGTGTGTGTGTGTGTGTACTCAAAGCGTTTAACCAAGATGGAGTGTCTTCACGTCGATTAACCAACTCATCCAGACGCAAAGACCTAAGGTCAGTTTGTAAAAATTTATATTTGGGTTTCTTTTAAGGACACTTGGCCGTTTCTGTACGGTCTGTCTTTAGTTTGACTGTTGATACCGCCGGCTGTCTTGGATCCATCTGTGATACTTGACGCGCAAGTTTATCGTTTTGAACCGACTTCTCGATCGACAATCTTCCAGAAATAAGTTTTCTTTTTCATGTCTGGCAAGAATCGAAATGCAGATGTTGAGACGGTGTCTAGTGTTTCGCTCTCACCGATTCACCTGAAGCCCGTTTTCACACTGTTCGAAACTTAAACTTACTTTGCCAACATCTTACAACTGTTTGGTAGTCAACAAAAAGTTTTTTTTTTAGTCAATTCCGTTGTTGATTAAATGAGAGGGGTCATCGGCCGTAACCTTCGAATTTGATTGAGTCTGGAGCCTTGTATTGGTTAAAATACAGCTAAAAAAATGTTCACCGCTCCACGTAACTATAGTTGGAATTTTTTTATTTGACCTTCAGTGACAAAGTCGTGGTGATAATTCCGAAGGCAGCTGCAAAACTACACTGATGTTGCCCCTTACTCCAATGGTAGTCAGTTCACTGTCATTATAGTCTGGCACAAGGATACAAGTGGTGAGCCCACTGTAGATGAAAACCACCACAGTAGCAATAATTTTGGAGATTAACTTGCTGATTGTTGCTTCCCAGCAAGAAGCTAACGATATTCTGTTATAGTGATTTCCCAAGCGTAGCTTAGATGTGGCACATGGCCTAAAGTAAGGAGCACCCAGTGAGGATCGAACTCACTACTCAGTCCTAATTGTTCTAGCGAGACAAACTTGCTAACCATTACACGGCCTCGAGATGCCCAAAGATGATTTTCCAAGCGTAGCTTAGATATGGCACAAGGCCGAAAGTAGGGAGCACCCAGTGAGGATCGAACTCACTACTCAGTCGTAAGGATTGTTAACAATTCCGCCTCGAGGTGTCTCATTTTCGTAACTTGATCTGGCACAAGGCGAGAAAACCCAGTGAGGATCGAACTCACTAATCAGTTAATCATTACACCGTCTCGAGGATAATTCTGTTATATAGTACCGTGCGAAAGTCCTTGTTTACACTGTTTTCCCTATTTTTGTTTTTGTTATCACAATGTTTCGGTTGTTGCTTCCTCCGGTCTTCATCAGGTTTATGTTGAGTCCGTGTAACCTAAGGGGAATTCCGGAAACAGGTCAAACAATAACTAACTAAGATCAAAAATAATACCTAGACGAGATATCCCTAGACATGAGCAGTAGAAATAAGAACACTCTCGCACCGGAGATTAATTGAATGTTTGTGAATAATACACTCCATCTCTAATGTGACTCCATAAGTCTATAGAGGCTAAATCTGGTGACCTGGGTGGCCAAGGAACTTGAACAGCTCTTCCAATCCATCGGTATCGAAACGTTTCATTGAGAAACTGAGAGTCCTCCCACCAATGGGGTAGTGCACTGTCCTGCTGGAAAATAACTTGGTTGCAAATGGTACAACCAGTTTTTGTAAAGGTAGCTCTAATATATATATATATATATATATATATATATATATATATATATATATATATTACATAAATCATTCATACAAAAAAACAGATATAGAAGTTAATGATTTAAATGGCGAGAATACATCTTCGCAAACAAATTTAATAAATTACATTAACCCCGAACCTGTAGATGAATGTTATGATCCCTGTTTATAAATTCCAGTTGCATAAGGTCTTTTTTTTAATTTTTTTTACAAGCTTTCATCTGTTTCTACAGACATCATCAGGTATGGAAATAGATTTGTTTTTGTTTTTTACTTCTCGGTAA